GGGGGGGGAGGGGCTGGGGAAGGAAAAAAAGCCCAAGAAAAATCAGGCAGGAAAGGAACAAAAAGGGAGGTTTTTCTGTCCAGCTGGGACCGTGTGGGGAGGGAAGGGGGGAAAAGTGGCATCAAAAGGGGGTTTTCATCCTGGTTGGTGGAACTAAAGGGGTGAAAGGGGCATTTCCAAGGTTGGCTGGAAATGTCCTGCAAAAATTTGGGGAGGGGAGGGGAGGGAAGAAGGGAAATGGGCCCCTGGAAGAGACAAAAAGGGGGGAAAACCGTGAAATGTGAAGAGAAGGAGCTAAAAAGGTTCCTTGTTGTTGGTTGGTTGTTGTGGGGTTTTTGCTGGGGGGTTCAAATGGGACAAATGGACAAAAATCTCTGGGGATTTGCAGCATCCCTGGGGTGTTGGGATCCCTTTGGTGGAGGGAAAATTCCCAGGATATTCCCCCTAATCCCAGAAAAAAAAATAATAAAATCAAAGGGATGAAGATTCACGTGAATCAAGGGAATTGTTTCCATTATTTCTCATGTTCAGGGAGATGGGAAGGGGTTGGTTTCCCTCCCCCCCCACTGCCCGGGGGGTTGATCCAGCTGGATCATCCATCCCAGCATCCCTGGGAGGCCCATTCCAAGCCTGGAACACCAGGACCCTCCTCCCAGTCTTGTTATCTGGTGTTGAACTGGTGTTTTCTCCCCACGCAAAGGCTCCCAGGGTTGGGCTCCTGCATCTGAGCCGGGATTAGGGTCTGAAATTCCTGATCCTGCTTAGAAAAAGCCTCTGAAATCCCTCGGGATCAGCAGGATCCTGCTGGGAGATCCGAGGGGGGATGCACAGATGCTCTTCAGCCCCAGCCCAAGGAGGGAGGGGGCTAAAAATAACCCACAGGGCTCCCTAAACACCTAAAACCTACCCCAAAAATGGCCCCACCCCCCCAAAAAAAAGAAGCCCCATCCCCCCAAAAAAACACCACCAGCACCACCTGAGATGTTACTGGTGTCCCAGTTCCTTCTTGCTTCCCAGGACTTTGGAAAGGGTTTGGTGGTCAGGGCTGGATCTAAAGGGCTGGACACCAGGAAGGAGCCCCAGGAGCCCCAGGCCAGGCAGGTGGTTCTTGGGAAGGTCTGAAGAGGTGGCCAGAGGAGCCTGGTGAAGGTCCCTGGGTGGCATCTGGGCACCTTCTCTGGCTCCTCAGGGGAAATGGGGGTTGGAGGGACAATCAGCAGAGCTGAGTTCTCCATGTTCCCAAAAAATAAACCATCAAAAAGGTCCTTTCTCAAGGCCTGGATGAGCTGGAATTGCCTTGTGCTGAGATGGAGGCCAGCAGGGTTGAGGTGCTCCTAGAAGGTCTGCAGAGCCTCAGCCCTGCCCAGCCTGGGCTGCAGATGGAGCAGGAGCCCCAAGAAGGGGAGGAAAACCTGGGACTGATGATGTCAGGACTATCGAGACTCGGGCAGGGGGTGGCAGGTCCAAGCCCAGGTGGAATGAAAAGCAACCACTTGGATTTGGTTTCCCCAGAGCTTTTATTTTACAAAAATAACTTACAAATAGAGACAAGTCCCAGGAGGAAACTCTGGGAGCAACAAGGAGGAAACTCAGCAACCCTGGGAGCAACAACTCTGAACATCCTGCAAGTTCCCACATCCCAGAAGGTTTCAGACTCAGGATGGACCCGTTTCCATCCTGCTCATCCCTAGGGAGGCTGAAGGAACATCTCAAGGTTCTGGAGACACTCAAACGTCCAAGAGGCAAACGAGGTTTCCAAAGACAGTTGCTCAAGGTACATGGAGGGGCAGGAAAGTCTTTTAAATACAACACAAATATATATATTTTATGAGGAGCCACTGGGGGGTCTGGAGGTGGAAGGGAAAGCTGCTCCTGGAGGCGGCTGTGGGACACAGGGGCTTTGTCTGCTGGGAGGTCCTTTCCACAGGGAAGCCCAAAGACGCCGTCCAAGCGAAGCACGAGGTGACGGGAGGGCAGGAGGCATCTCAGGGGGTTCCTGCAGTCACTTGGTGCTCTGCTCCAGGGCTGAGTACTCTGCCTCCGAGCCCCTGGAGGTGTCGATGAGCTTGGTGAGGCCGGTTTTGGCTGAGTACCTGAAGATGAAGGCCTTCATCAGCTCGTAGCGGTAGCTGCGGTGGATGAGGCTGTAGAGGACGGGGTTGAGGCAGCAGTGGAGCAGGGAGAAGCACTGGGTGGTGTGGAGGGCGGCGTAGAGGAAGTTCTCCATCTGGCAGCTGAAGGGGATGAAGTGCAGGCTGTAGAAGATGTCCAGGAGGACAGCCAGGTGGTAGGGCAGCCAGCAGAGCAGGAAGACCCCCACGTAGGAGGAGATGATCTTCCCGTTGCTCCTCCTCTCCTGGTCGCTGGAGCTGGAGATGGTCCTGGCCAGGAGGGAGTAGGAGACAGCGATGATGGGGAAGGGGATGAGGAAGCCCAGCACCACGGAGATGAGCTCCATGCCCACCAGCCACTCCTTGAAGCTCTCCTCGGGGTAGACGGGGCGGCAGAAGGTCTCGTTGTTGGCAGAGACTGTCTTGAGGTAGCAGGTGTCTGGGAGGGAGGCCAGGAAGGCCAGGAGCCACACCAGGAGGCAGACGCAGCGGCGGGTGCTCTTCTTCTTGGGCTCACTGGAGCTGCTGGGATGGGCCACAGAGAGGTAACGGTCCACGCTCATGCAGGCCAGGAAGAAGATGCTGCTGTACAAGTTGATGGAGAACACCAGGTGAGTGACCTTGCAGGTGACCTCCCCCAGGAGCCACTGGTTGTGCTGGACCAGGGAGGCGACCCAGACGGGCAGGGTGATGACCACGCACAGGTCGGCGATGGCCAAGTTGAAGATGTAGAGGTGGGTTTCGTAGCCTGTCATCTTGGCCTGCAGGTTGGCCCACACCACCACCGAGTTGGCCACCAAGCCGGTGACAAAGATGAAGATGTAGAAGAAGGAGAGGGTATAGAGCAGGGCACCCTTGTGGAGGGTGGCCGGGCAGGTGGTGGCGTCCACCGTGATGCAGTCGCTGCTGTTGCAGCTCCAGCTGATCTCCGACAGGTTGGCAGCCTCCAGGAAATCCAGGATGGAGGTGAGGTCCAGGGCACTCATGTTGGCTCCGTGTGCAGTGACCTGCAGGGGAGAGGAAACGGTCAGGAGAACCAGCCCGAGGTTATGGGCACGTTTCTGCTGCCATCCTGGGACCACAAAGCACGTGCAGGACACGCTCCTTGTGAAGACCACTGACTGGTATGGGTGGGAGGGACCTTCAAAATCATCCAGATCCAACCCCTGCATGGGCAGCGACACCTCCCACCAGCCCAGGCTGCTCCAAGCCCCATCCAACCTGCCCTTCAACACTGCCAGGGATGGGGCAGCCACCTTAGAGCTCATCTAGGGGATCATCTGGGTGGTCTTCAAGGTCTTTTCCAAGCCAAACCATTCCATGGTCAGAGGACCATCTAGATCCCACCCCCTGCATGGGCAGGGACACCTCCCAGCAGCCCAGGCTGCTCCAAGCCCCATCCAACCTGCCCTTCAACACCTCCAAAGAAGAGACAAGTGGAGCAGAACCACCAGAGCACACACAGAGGGAACCTCAGCTGGCCAACAAGAGGAACACCACTCATCTTATACTTTCTGGTCTCATTTCCTCCTTGCTGCTCTCCTCTCCTCCTGCAGCTCCCACCTGACACCCCTGGGTTGGCTGTGGTCCCTGGGTGTGAAACCCACCCAGCCCAGCCAACACCAGTGTCTCCTCCAGCAGAAAAGCTGCTGCTCCCCCTGCCAGCAGGGGAACCTGGAGCCACGTCACGTCCCTCACGCAGAGCAGGACCCACCTCCCTGACCCACAGCACCACAAAACATCCCCCCCCCAGCTCTGCTCAAAGCTCGTCCAGCTCCTGCTGGGACCCCCCCACCCCACAGATGGGGCTGCCACGCTGCAGCAAAGCCAGTTTTGGGGCCACGGGCTCCAGCCGGGAGGGCACCAAGATGGACCCACCTGGATCCTCCACCTGCTCATCCCCAAGCTCCCACCTGCCGGGACCAACCAAGCCACGGGGGTCCCCCCGAGCCCAGCCCAGCCAAGGGGTCCCCCCAGGCCCAGCCAAGGGGGTCACACCCAC